ACTGGCCAAGCTGGCTGTGTGTGTGGATTCTGGAAGTTGTAGTCCAGAAAGCTAACAGTCTAAAACTGTAGTTTGCATAGCCCCATAAAATAAATCCTTCCCCAATAATAATATGGTTAATCCTGCATGCTTGCAACACATGTTTGTTGGGTTAAAGGAAGGATCACAGTGCAAATTTCTCTCCTCTCCTTTCCTTGTCTGCCTTTCACTCTTCATGGCGAGGGGTCAACGTGGCCGAGAGCCACCGTAAAGCCTTCCTTCCTTTCTTTCGCTCCCAGAGGATAACGGGCGAAACAGCGGGTTGAGGAGGCTCCCTCACTGGGAGAAGTATTTTGAAACTGTGGTGGAGCAGCCACGGGCCAGGTGTGTGTTAGCTCCGTCCCCCTGTCCGGCTTCTCCAGGGGGTTGGTCTGGATGACCTTTAGGGTTCCTGCCGGTCCTGTGGAATGCTCTGCTTCAGCAAAGCAGCCATCCTAAATACGCTGGGCTGGGAACAGGTCCCTTTGGACCAGTGAGAAATTTACTTCTGAGTAGACATCTGTAGGATGATGCACCCTCTCCATTAAAAGGGCTTCTGATTGCTCAACAGTCTTAGCCTAAAAGGGCTCGGTTTCCATCTGCTAATTACAGGTGCCTTTGCGTGCAAGCTTCTGGAGACCTCCCAGGTTCTCGGCCACAGGTGGTTGTGGCAAATGAGCAGCAATTTTTCAGGATGCGTTGATGTGTTCAGATATAAGACCACGGAATTGACTGGGACAGTTCTAGGCAAAATGTGCTAAAGAAGCAGAAAAGAGTCAACCTGCGGGATGTTCCATCTTGCTTTCGCCTTTCATTTTCCTCACTTAGAATGTCTGATTTCTTAAACCAGGAGGGACGTGGGCAGGTTTCCTGAGCACTCATGGCATACGCTGTTGTTTATTGTTACTCTGCACACGGTCAGTCTCTTGGCTGGCTTCAGAGTAATTCATGCCCAGCCTTCTCCTGTGGTTGGGGCTATGGCTGAGCTCAGATCCCACCCCCTCAATTTATTTTTTTAAATGACTTTCCAGTGGAGCACAGGAAGGTTTATAGGCTGGTACTTGCTTATATCTGTTGTGCCTGTTATGCATGTGGTTGGTTGGTTGTGTCATTGGTTGTGTCATTGGTTGTGTCGTGGTTGGTTGGTTGGTTGGTTGGTTGGTTGGTTGGTTGGTTGGTTGGTTGGTTGGTTGGTTGGTTGGTTGGTTGGTTGGTTGGTTGGTTGGTTGGTTGGTTGGTTGGTTGGTTGGTTGGTTGGTTGGTTGGTTGGTTGGTTGGTTGGTTGGTTGGTTGGTTGGTTGGTTGGTTGGTTGGTTGGTTGGTTGGTTGGTTGGTTGGTTGGTTGTGTCATTGGTTGTGTCATTGGTTGGTTGGTTGGTTGGGTGTGTCATTGTTTGGTTGGCTGGTTGGGTCATTGGTTGGTTGGTTAGTTGGTTGGTTGGTTGGTTCGTTCTTCACACCGCCCTGTTAGTGCAAAAACACTCTTCTGGTTGGTTGAACAGCAGATTAAAACAAAATGCAGAAAGCTAAACAAACACTAACAGTATTTTTTTAAAAAATGGCAGCAGAACAATTCTTCTGAATGACAAAAGGGAGGGAGCAAAGTTGGGGCCACCACGGAGAAGACCCTGCTTTTAGTAGAAGGCTTTTGGACCTCCCTCAGGGTAGGCCATCTGGAGGAGCCTGGTCTGGGAGGATCTGGTGGGATGGGCAGATAACACTGGGGTCAGAGTCTGGGAGGAGTAACAATTATTATTATTTGTATTATTATTGCTACTGTTGTTCCTGAGTGACTAAGATGTACCAAGCTGTTTCTGAGCGGTTCCATGGATGAAAAGTCAAGGCTGCAAAAATGTAGAAAGCGGCTTACATAGGTAAAATTAGCTTGAGCCTTCTTCTGCATCTTACTAGGAAAGACGAAAGTGGCTGTGAAGATGGAAATCGAGACAGGAAGGGGGACCACAAATAATCTAGCGGTGTAGCTGAACTGTCAGGCGGCCACTCAGAGGCTTGAGTCCTGTCAGCTCAGAAGGAAATAGAAACCGTACGCCTTCGCCCGCCACCCTTGTCAACTTTACCATCTCTGTTCTGAAGATCACTCATGACTACTTCCTCCTTCCTGCTCTCATTCCGCTGTTACTGGAAGCCAAGGATGTTCTGCTTGCTCTGACTTCGGATGTGTCAGCTCCCAGTCTCTCTCCTCCCTGCATTAAAGTTGTCTTGAACATGTGACTATAACAGCCGGTACTTTTTCTTGTTATGAGACCATTGTGCATTTTATGTGGCTCCTAAATTCTTGATCTTTATTTGTTTGCATGAGCATTTATTACTTGGTCTCAGCTATGGCATTTTTAGCATCACGCACACGCACACGCACACGCACACACACACATACACACATGTGCACAGACCAAATGGTTGCTCAGAAAGAACTTTATTCAGTATGAATCTATTACATTATTTTTATCCATAAGGGAAAGCTGCTGTGAAAGTTATCACTTTCATATATGAAAATATTTAAAATGATTTTCAAAAATATGAACCAAAAGGAGAAAAAAATTCACATTCCCTCCCTCTCCCGAAATTATTAAAAATATCAGAAACACAAATGGAAAGGTGCAAAAAAATATAAGCTTTTGTTTATAATTTGCCTTTGCTCCAAGGACTGAGGCAGGCAGTACTATTATTAAATATGTTAATTACACAATATACTGTATAGTATTTTTAGAACTGTAGAGTTGGAAGTGACCCTATGGATCATCCAGTCCAGCCCTTGTCAAGGGGGAATCAAACTCCCTACCTCTGACTCTGCAGACAGAGACCTAAACCACTGAGCTATCCAGAAGGTTTTTTTTTTTTTTTTAAAAAGATGTTTGTGTTTTAATACTTACCTGTACTAACCGTACAATCTCATTCCATGCACTGGAACAATATATGTAGAGAGAGGGTACGTTGCAATGCATGTTGTCAAGGCCAATTTTAAGTTATTGCTGGCAAATTACATTCACAAGCTGCTGTGAGCGGTCTCCCTTTTGACTTTCATTCAATTCAGACTTCAGTTTGGCTGGGTGAACTCTGACCCCAGTGTTCCTGCGGCCAAATTCCAAGCTACTTGGAGCTCCAGAATCTGACTTTTATGACCTCTTTCCAGATTAGGGCTTCTAGTGTCACTTGATGAAGATAAGTGTTGGTTACAGGCTGTGAAAATAAAATAGGTAATATTAACATTCTTAAGGTAAAGCTAAAGGTTCCCCTTGACATTGAGTCCAGTCGTGTCCAACTCTAGGGCGCGGTGCTCAATCCTAGCTCCAAGCCATAGAGAGCCAGCGTTTTGTCCGTAGACTGTTTCCGTGGTCATGTGGCCAGCGTGACTAGACATGGAATGCCATGACTTTCCCACCGAGGTGGTACCTATTTATCTACTCGCATTTTTACATGCTTTCAAACGGCTAGGTTGGCAGGAGCTGGGACAAGCGACGGGCGCTCACTCCGTTGCGTGGATTCGATCTTACGATGGCTGGTCTTCCAAACTTGCTTCTGTGGTTTAACCCGCAGCGCCACCACATCCCACTATTAACGTTCTTAACCGTGGTTAAAAGCCATGGGGTTGAATGGTTCTCTCCTCTCTGTCTTGGAAGTCAGTTCTTCTGTCCTGCTGGAACCAGACAGTTAAAGCAAAGCTTTGAAAATTGAGCTAAAGCTGATCTGCGATCTGCTTAAACAATGGTTCTGAATCGGCTTCAAACCCTGATTAAAGGGGGTTTGTTCTTTAGCCACGATCAGGCAGCGCTGTTGGTGGTGGAACTCTTCAGTTGGAGTTCAGGCAGGAAGAGCATCCGGACGGCCTCTGTGTCGTAAATCTCATCCCATCATCAGACGGAACTGAAACCCATTGTGGACTTCAGAAGCAGAGGTTTCAGTGCTGTTGGTTCATTCGTTTTGCTTATTTATGACATCTCTGTCGTCCTGCTTTTCCTGTGGTCACCTCAAGAGAGCGAACGGGGTTCTCCTTCCTCCCCTATTGTCCTTGTGCCCATCCTGCGAGGCGGTCCAGGAGGAGACGCCGCGCTTGGCGCAAGGAAACCCAATGAGTTTGAAAGGATTCGGGGCTTGGGAAATGCGGCGTTCTTGGACTGTCATTCCCCGAGCACACCGGCCGGTGGTGCTCGAAGGGTTCTGAGAGTTGTCGTTTCAAAGAAAAGGCCATGAAGAATAAGCCCGCTGAAGCAGACACGCTAAAACTAGGCAGGAAGTGGCTGCCCCATGATTGCCAGCTTGCAAAGCTGTGTCAACAGTCCTGGCGCACACCCGAGCAGAGACGCACCGGCTCAGAACACGGACAGAGGTGTTCATGGGGGAAGCTGAAGAGGAAATGAGTCGGGATTTGCATCCCTCTAGTGTTTGCTAATTTCCTCCTTGCCTACGTGCCTGTCAGACCATCCGCAACAACTCCTCCTCACCCGGGAAGAGCCGTGTCTGCTCCGCCTGGGGGAAACGCTGCCTCTTTGGACTCCGTTTCTTACTGGGCGGGGTTTGACTTGAGAAGGAAGTGGGAAAAAGACTGACACCAAGATTTGAAGACTTCCTTTAAACGACGGGCTTTAAACGACATCTCTATTTATTCTTTGTTTTTGTTGCTGAATGAATTTCAGAGCTTTGTGCTGCTGCTGGTTTTGAGGATGTTCTCTGGGGAATATTGGGAGTTGCAGAGTCCAAAGAGTGTCATCCTCATCCTCTTAAGACTGCAGCGCTGGAAGGGACCCTGTGGGTCATCCAGTCCAGCCCCAGTGGGGGAATTGAACTCCCCCACCTCTGGCTCCGCAGCCAGATATGCCTCAACCCCTGAGTGCTCCAGCATTTCCGATTGGTGATTTGTTTGTTGCCAGGCTGTTTCGCAAAATGCAGACGGAACCTCTTGCACCCCAAAAGCCAAGAAACGAAATAGCCCAGAATTGAAGAGCAGCCGCTATATGTACGTCCGAACGGACCCATAAACCGAAACATCTGATGAGGGTTTTGTGTGTGTGAATAGTTACCGATCACTTAGAGGTTGAAAAGTTACTTTTGGACGACAGCTCTGGTAACTCCCCAGGCGACATGGCCAATGAACCAACTTCCCACCCACCCCCAATTCCCAACAGCAACAGCCTGCTGCGTGATGCTGGAAACTGTAATCCTGCCAAGTAACTTTTCCATCCTCCGGGGTAGGCTGCTTAAAATTCTTCCATCCTCTGACTTTGGAAAAGATGGAGGTTATGTGTCTCTCCCCCCTCCCATACGTTGGAGGGACCAGTTGGGAAGGGTTTAGCGTTGGACGAGAAAATACTCAGAAAAGGATTTTATGCCTTCGTATCTTCCACTAAAATATGAACTTCCTGAGAATACTTTAATGTTTTTTTTAAATGACAGCATAGGGATTTCTTTATCAAATGTGGCTGTTGTGCTTCGTTCATCTCTTGCTGTGGCCAGGAAAGATCCCCAAAAATTCTCTCTCTTTTTTTTTTAGGTCACTGGTCATCTCGATGATTGTACTTGCGACGTGGAGACGATAGACGCTTACAACAATTACCAGATTTTCCCCCGCTTGCAGAAACTCCTAGAAAGCGACTATTTCAGATATTATAAGGTTATTTTCTTGATTTATTCACTGCCCGCGCTTTTGCCTGCTGGTGAGCCTTCTTTGAAAAGGCGAGCTTGCTTTGACGCAGGGGTGGGGCAGAAATATTCATCTTTTCCGACCTTTGCCGGTTTCCATCATCCTCTGCCGTTCCTACTCCTTGTTGGATGGATAGGAAGGTCTGGAAGTCCAAGACCATTGAGATCTGTGCACGCTGTTCCCATTTCAACAGAATATACCCAGAAGTATATTGCTTCAAACTTTTCATTATGGGTCAGGCGTAAGGGACGAAACGGCCATTGGTTAACATCTGAAACTTCCTTGTGTGTGTGCGTGCGTGCGTGCGTGCATGTGCTTGCATGCATATGAGAGAGAGGAAGGAAGAAAGCATTTCTTTAAAAAAACCCACATCTATTTCACATACTTCATGCCAGTAAATTTCTTTCCCAGTGACAAATATTGAGCAATGGAGTTTTAAATTTTTTTTCTCCCCAATCCGGCATCTTCCACATGTGATGAGTTACATTTTAAAAATCTCTCCAGCCATCTCATCCAGTATCCAACAAGCAGTTTTTCCTTGTAGAATTCAGATTTCGTGATCTCTACCACAAAGGCCACGCTGGATGGGAACGATGGGCATCGTACTTGAGCACCCCTGCAGGCTGGCTTCTGTATTGTTCGGAAAAGGCGGCCGCTCTCTTGCAGGTGGCCGAGTGGCCTTTGGTGGCCTTCAGAGGGGAGGGTCCTTTGTCCAAAGGGCAGGTCCCTGCCCCATGGACCTTCCAGTCTAAAGCACGTTAACCAGGGCCAGACAGTGGGAATAAAAGTGGGAATCAGTAGCAATGGGGGGAGATTTTACTTCTGTTCCAACTGGATCATGAGAAGGAATCTGAGGGCCGTATCAGACGTGAGGATCCTGCCGGAAACCCTGTCTCGCTTCCTGCCTCCGACACGTTCCTTCTTTCCAGTCTGTGATGAAAAACGGAAATCAACCCAGCTGCACCCTCTGCTCTGCTTTCTGTCTCCCCAGGTTAACCTGAAGAAGCCGTGTCCATTTTGGAACGACAACAGCCACTGCGGGATTCGAGACTGTGCGGTGAAGCCTTGCCCGTCTGTAAGTCCGGGGCGGGGTGGTCGGTCTTCCCTCTGGCCTGGCGCACGGGGCTTGGCGTGTGGCTTGGGGGCGGCGTTCAGAAGACCGGAGGGGCCCTTCTCACGGAAGGAGGCTGTCCGTGGGAAAAAGAAACAGGGATGACAAGTGGCAGGCACTACCCGTTGAATGACGGCCTGATTAACTGCACCCTCAGATGAGCACCATGTAGAAATTTAGAGAGAGAGAGATTGATTGTTCCCCACTACACAGACAGATAGATATGTATATAAATTATTCCCCACTAGGGAAAGAGAGAGAGAGAGAGAGAGAGATTGGGGAATAAAAAAAAAAAAAAACCACACAAACCTGCTGACATTTCCCTGGGTAGAACAAAATCAACCACTGTTGCTACCTTTTGGGTTTACAGACTGGAGTTTGCAGCAACTTTAGGAGCAGACAAAGTATTCCCCACTAGGGAAAGAGAGAGAGAGATTGGAGAATTAAAAAAACACCACACAAAGAAGGGAGGGTGGGGGGTGGAAGGCCACAGATGGGAGAAAAGGAAAAGGGCAGAGAGCCGGACAGTGACAGGCAGGCAAAAATAAAATAAAATAAAATATGGTGCTTGGGGAGAGTTTTGCAGGCATCCTAGATTGCTAGAAAGACAGACAACCACATGCTGGAATGTATCAAGCCTGAATCATCTTTAGAGGCCCAAATGGTGAAATTCAGGATCTCTGAGTTTGGGCACGTCATGGGAAGGCAGGATTATTCAGAAAAGACAGTAATGCTTAGAAAGCCGGAAGCCAGCAGGAAAAGAGGAAAGCCAAATGTGAGATGGACCGACTCCCTCCAGGAAGCCATAGGGTTGAGTTTCCAAGAGCCGAGCCGGGCAGTTGAGGACAGGATCTCATTTGGGAGGGGGGGTCACTCACGTGTAGAGTCACCTTAAGTCAGAGGCGACTTGATGGCAGGTAGCAATAACAGCAAACGTCCCCCATTAATTAAAAGCAAACGGTACTCTTGGGCACTACTGGGTGAGGGGAGAGGACAAGGAGGGGAGGACTTTAAAAAAAAAGTAGCTACTATTTTTGTAAGAATTTCATTGTGGTGGTTGTGGTGAGTCCAGGAATAGCTGTCTTTGGCCCCCCAGAACCCAGGGCCCTGCTCCCCTTTTTATAATCTTATCACCCAGGATAACAGGAGGTGGCTTAAGGGCTTTTGAGCTCTCCCCACAATCTTTGTTACAAACCAGGTGAATTAGGATTGTTCTTTGACTTTAAAAAAAATCCGTTTAAAAAAAAGTTTTGATCTTGCAATCTTTGATTCCAGGAGGAGGTCCCCGGTGGAATTAGATCCGAGAGCTACAAGGTAAGTTATTAAGTTTACGGAAGAATCGCTGGGCAAGCTGTCAAGAGTACAGCCTGTTTCTGCTTGCACAGGTCAAGAAGGTCCAAGCTTCTCTCCCCCTCCCCCTGCTGTTTTTCTTAAAAGAAAAAGGAAATAAGCTAATGAATTAAGAAGCTGATGGTAGTCTAATAGCCACCCAGAGTACAGGATGACCCCCGTGGGATCGGTTCGAGCCCCCTCCCCACAGATCCTGAAAACGTGGATTACAGGAAATGCAATACGTACATATCATGGCCTTTGCTTCCCTCTAGTGGGCAGTTCGTGTAACTTCAGCTTTAGAAATGTATATATTTCTAGAATTTTTCTTTTACTATATTTAATATTTTCAGATCATAGATTAGTGAGTCATTGCTTACGGATCCCACGGATGGGGGGGGGTTTCCTACTGTACTTGTATTAGTTCCCTTTTTCATCTGAAGTGGTGAGCAAAAACTTTTATTTTATGGATTTGTGTGCCAAATAAAATGTGTCTTCTAAAGATATACTTCATATACTCCATGCCTTGAATTTCTCCCAGTTCTTTCCAACTTTTACCTGGAAAAGTATATTCCATCCTCTTAAGCTGTGTTGTTTCATGGGCCTACTCTGGGAATGTTACAAGCTGATAGCTTTCTTGGGGCAGAGTTTGGTTTAAGAGTTGATATTCAGAAAACCCATCAGAGTGAGCTTTAATCTTTTTTTTTACACCCTTTGCAGTATTCAGAAGATGCAAATACCTTTTCTGATGACTGCGAAAAAGCCGAGAGACTGGGAGCTGTTGATGGATCGCTGAGGTGCGTTAGATTGTCACATGACATGCTTGCACAGACGGACCTCTTCTAAAACGATATTTATCGGGACTGGGAGACTCATTTTCAAGCCCACTATTTGTCGTGGGGTGCCTGAGGCCCCTCGGTGGCAAAAGATGCTTCCAGAAATGTTTTTTAAAAAACCCAGAATGGTTCGGATGGCCAGCGCTAGTATTGAGGTTTCATTTGGGGGAAAAGAGTTTGAAGCAAACGCCACCATTTCTGGAGGCCTCCCTGGGGGGGGCACCGTTTCTCAGTTCTTGCTGTAGAAATAAAAGAGTCTCCATGACAGCTTTGAAACATGCATTTTTTGGAGGATTAGAACATCCACCTGTCCCCAGCTGAACAAGGCTGCTGGGCTTCGTAGTCTCTCAAAGTAATTTCCCCCCCCATGCTCTATTTTCCAGGTCCAGTAGCTGGGAGCTGTTGCTCTATCTTCAGCAACTTTTGTGGATTTTTTTTCCTCCCCAGCAGTTTGAGTAGCCATCCTGGCATAGCTCGTGGCAGGCTGGCACTGGACATGTCCAGAGATCTCTTATGCTCCCATAGCATTACACTAAGACCTCTGAGAAAGCTGGTTTTATGCAGGGTGAAAGTAAAAGAAAAGTCATACGAGGAGGGCAGGCTGTGGGGATTCCATTCTTTATTTTGTGACTGCCCCGCCTCCACCTCGATGAACGGATGGTGGCAGGTCAGTTCCGACGAATTCCAACCCTCCCGCGGTCTTCTACGTACAAAGTACTTAGAAGTGGTTTCATCGTTCCTCTTTCTGGTGTTACTCCTGGACCACATCGTTCAGCTTGTCTAAAGCCACACAGTTGGCAAGGTGTGTCATCGCCTTGGTCACATTTTTCCAGGGTGATTTCAGCTAACCTCTTTTCTGCAAAGCAAGGTGGGAGTAGGAACGGCCATCTCCTGGCTCTGCAGCCGAGTGCTCCAACCCACTGAGCCAGAGCAGCTTGGCATTCACCTTCTCTCTTAAAAAAAAAAAACCCACAACAAAACACACAACCGTCTCATGTTGTCTGACTACGAAACATGTTTCTGGTTTGGTTTGCAGTGAAGAAACAGCCAGGGCCCTCCTTCAGTGGACTCGGCATGACGATTCTTCGGACAACTTCTGTGAAGTTGACGGTATTTCTAGTACTTGATTATCTGTGCTTTTATTGTTTCGAGCAAAGCAAAGCACAATTGCCAGCTTACAGCGGCAGCAAAGGGTCAGAGAGCTATCTTAGTGGTCAATTTCTTCTTCTTTTGTGGATGCTACCAAAATTTTTTTTTACAATCAAGCAGGTGGGCAGCAGCAGCTATTTTCGCGCCCTCCCCTTGCTTAACGAGGGTGCGAAAATGCTGCGCGTGGCCATTTTGAGGCTTCCGGCGGCCATTTTGTAGCTGCCGAACAGCTGATCAGCGGGTCGCAAAGCGAAGGTCGGTAAGCGAACCGCTTACCGCCCTTCGCTCTGCGATTTTGAGCCATAGGGGCCGTCGGTGTGCGATCGCATTTGCGATCGCTAGAACGGCGCCGTTGTGCGGATTCGTCATTCTACGGTGCACTCGTTGTGCGAGGCACCACTGTATATGGTCTGTTTCCTAGTTTCTGAGGAACGACACCGGCGAACTATAATGCTTTGTCTTTGATCAGCTGGTTTGAGTTGGGGTTTTGTGGACGATGGTTGTAAGTTGTTTTGTCAGCCACTTGGAAGGTCTGATGAGAAATATGCTAAGTTTTTTAGTTTGAAAAAAGCACTTTCCCCACCTCAGGCTCAAGCGAGGCATAACGGAAGCAATGATGTTTGTTCCCTGGGTTGCCTTGCTCACTTATAAAAACAGGAGGGGGGATCTTGGGTTCCAAGCCCACCTACCCTTTGGAAGTCAAAAGAAACACAGACATACCCATGCTATGTACAGTATTTGTACAGTCTCTGGCTTCCTCTAGTGGTCTGTTCAGGTAGATACACTTTGGAAATACATATAAATATGCGTTTCTGGAGTTTATTTTTTGGGTGGCTGTAATTATAAAATGAGGTCTGTTTATATTTTTTTCCTAAATACAGATGTACTGTAGGAATTTGAGGCAAGGCTGTAGGAAGCAGGGGGCAACAGGGGAAGGACCTGAAGTCTTTGAAAGAGCAAAGAAAAAAGCCGATAGAATACAACTTTTCAAGCAGTGGATAAGTGAATCAGTGGCTAACGATCCCGTGGATAGGCAGTCTTACTCTACTGCATTTTAATGTATCGAACATGATGCAGTGGAAATGTGTCCTCCTTTCCTTTCTTAGCTTAAGGAAATGTTAGTATTTCCTTCCTTTGCAACGCAAAATGGTGCAGCTATGGAGTCCCTGTGTGGGTTTGTCACTGCTTTCTTGATGTCGACAATCAGGCTTCTGGGCTAGAAAAAGCTAGTAGACTCTGGCGTACTGTGTTCTAGAGCTTAGAAAATTAATTTCTAAAAATAGTTAATTCCCCTTGCTCATTTAAAATCTGACTTGGTGCCATCAAGTCAGTTCTGACTTTCGATGACCCTTTTCAGGGTTTTCTTGATAGAGAAGACTCAGAAGTGCTTTACCACTCTCTTCCTCTAGGGGCGCCCTGGGACTGTGGAGCTAGCCCAAGGCTACCCAGGCTGGCTCTACTTCCGGGAGGTCCAGTGGGGGGAATCGAACTCCCAACCTCGGGCTCTGCAGCCAGATAACCTCACTGAGCTCTCCAGCCAGCTGTTACACATGAGCAGTGCTGGAAAGAATAATTTGCATTAATTGTATTAGCAGTTACTTCTTTCCCTGTCGGCTTACGATCAGTAAGAGTAGTATAAAACTAGAACAGAATTGCAAAAAGTGCCTTAAAAGGTCCTTTAAAAAAATTCCAAAAGGAACCTAGAAAATGCTACTCCTTAAATCAGTGAAAAACAAAACACATCATTCCAATGTGTTCTGTGACTTTGGAAATGTGATTTTTTAAAAAAATACGTCCTTTACCAAAAAGTTATGTTTCCTTTAAAGTGTCATTCTGGAATGTGTTTTCCTTTTCTCATGGGGTTGGAAACTTCCTGTCCTAGATGTCTACTCTCCCGACGCCGAATACGTTGATTTACTTCTCAATCCCGAGCGTTACACGGGCTACAAGGGTCCGGAAGCCTGGAAAATCTGGAACAGCATTTACGAAGAGAACTGTTTCAAGTAGGTGCCTTGGCCAGATTCTGAGATGACTTTCGAGATAAACAGGTGCATAAGTAAAAAAAATAAATTCATTGATTCACTGTCTTCCTCCAGTTATCATTCTTGGGAATTTCTGTCAACGGTTTGCCTGTTTATCTATTTTAATGTATACAGTGGTGCCTCGCACAGTGAGGTTAATCTGTTCCGGATTAACCCTCGCTGTGTGAAAACATCGCTGTACGGATCAAAAAAAGCCATTGGAACGCATTAAACTTAGTTTAATGCGTTCCAATAGCAGCTTTACTCACTGTACAGCGATGTTTCTCCGATGGCCGGCAGCCATTTTCGTGCCATCCCCTCGCTTAACGAGGGCGCGAAAATGCTGCGCGCGGCCATTTTGAAGCCGCCGAACATCTGAT